GCAGCAGAGCCTTTGAGAGGTCGAAGGTAAGCAAGTGCTCCTTGTCGCCTTTGACCGAAGCATTTGCCGGGATCTCTTTGCCCCGGTGCTTCAGCTGCGGCCGCCATGCTGGGATGGGGCTGACCGTGACGGCAGGTTGCTCGGTTGTTAGTTCGGCGACGAGCTCGGCAGAGGGATCTGCCCGTGGTCTTTTGCCAGCCCGGCGTGTTTCTTTGCTAGACTGCCCGGCGGCTGGAGAAGCTAAGGCGACCACGGCGGCACTTGATTGACCGGCAGCCGGGGAGCGGGCGACGACGTGCGGTATCTCGGCCGAGGTTGTAGTAAGAAGGTTTTTGATTCGGCTTCTTTTGGCCATTTCTTGTTCGTCTGTCAACCGGATTAAGGGGACGTCAGGAAATGTAGGGTCTGGAGGCGGCGATGGAGCATGGAGGAAGTCTGTTACTTTACTCCGGCGCGGAGCAGAGTACCTGTAGGTTGGGGTGTAACGGAGCAAATTGTTGCAATCTCGATGGCGGTAGCGGAGCACGGTTCGAATGGCCTCAACGTTTGGAAATTGATAGTTGGCTTGCAAGGCTTGGATTGCTGCAAAAGAAACAAGAAAACCGGTTAATTGTAGAATAAAGAGGTAATCTGACCGAGCAAGTTTGAGCGGCTTACATGAGGAACCGAAGTTCTTGCTTATAAACCAGCCCGGTACCTCGGCTGTTTCGTAATTGCCCGACACCAAGAAAAAATCGTCGTCGTGCAAATCTTTATCCGGGGTGCCGGTTATAATTTTCTCCTTGCCCGGTCTGATTTTCAAGTAATAGGCTAGGCCATCACCGATGTGACCCATCGTGTATTGCCTCAGTATCTCGGCTAGACCTAAGTTGGTGCCTAGCCGATTGTTCAGTTCATGAACGCCATTGATAATTCGATAAGCGTTGGTGGACACTTGTGTGGGTGCCAGCCCGGTGCGGCGGAGGAACTCGATGATAAGTGGGTTCAGTGGGAAGCGGACGCCTCCTTCGACGATCGACAGCACGGTGAAGGGGCATTGTTCTGTTCTACCCCAAGGCGTGGTCTCTTCTTCTACGAGCTCCAGGTGGACATCGGCCGGGATGCCGTACTCCTCCCTGAACGCAGCCAGCGCGACCGGAGTATCCACTAGGAAGCGGAATTTCCCCATTTGTGGTCGGCCTAGAGTAGCACGGCTGAGGGGTTTGGCACTGTGGTAATTGGTTGTTGCTCGGCCCTGAGAGCCTCAGGAATGGATAGTGGTCCCCTTGGACTCTGCAGGAAAATGATGGCAAGTGTAAGTGTGAGCGCGGTCGCGCGAAGGGAGCTGGACTTCAGCTCGGTCATTAAGAGTGCCAAACCACCTCGGTCGTCTATGCTAACTAAGGAGCTCGGTCGCCCAAGCAGACCAGATGTTAGCCCGGTTGAGCGACCAATTCCTTTTGTTATCTCGGTTTTTGCTGGGGTTGAGACAAACATGTTATTTGCTCGGTTAGATTGGTTTTTTGGATCAAATGATGACCAGGAGCCCAGTTCGCCCCAGTTCTTCAGTGTTCTTCAGGAAAAATGAAGAACACCGTTAACAATGGAGGGTTTGGGATGGTTTTAGGTGACCAAGGCCTAAAAGCTACAATTTCATGCCCTAATATGTGAAATATCAAAGAAAACGACAGCAAAAGAGAAGTTTGAGGACTTACGAGCGTAGGGCAGAGTCCTCTTCTTCAAGCACAAACTCAGCGTTGGCAAGGAACAAGGGGCAGGAGTTCTGTGAAGTTTGATAAGCAAGAGAGGCAGTAAGAACGGAAGGAAGAGAGCAGGGGCATGTTTATAGAGGAAAAGAGACTGCCCAAATTCAAATCCTGGCAAAACGGCGGGTTGGCTGCTCGAGAAATAATGGCAGCCCGCCACGTGTCCCCATTTATGGCGACGTCAGAACTGAAAAGACAGGTTGAAGAGTCGAGGAGCCAACCGGGCTACTTTCAAAGAAAAGGACGTCAGTCGAGGAGTATAACCGGTCAAGTTTTACAGACAGTAATGTTAACTAGCCCGGTCGCCATTTAGCATTCTGAAGACCGAAGAAATGTTATCCCGGTCGAAATGAGTAATCCCAGTCACGCTTTCGCAGACGGAATTAAGGGGCAATTGAGAGGGAGATTAATGATATAGAGTTAAGCCGGACAGATTTGGACCGGACAGAGTTATGCCGGACGGATTTGGACCGGACAGAGTTATGCCGGACAGATTTGGGTCTGGCAAGTGCTGGGCCGAGGGTGTGTGGCCCAGTTTGGAAAGAAGTTGCTCGGTTAAGGCGACGCTTGTTTGGACCGAGCTACATGTTTGACGGAGGCGAAGCCAGTCGAGTTAAGTGATCTGCGCTCGGAAAGACGTGGTCAGCCGAGGTACCTGTTCGCTCGGCTTTGTCGAGATGTTGCCTAGCCCGATCCTTATTAAGCTTAGCTAGTGGAGTGCTTGGATATGAAGCACAGCACGACGGTTGGCGGACAAGATGGTGCAGCTTGGCTGCCGAGCTCCCAATAGAGTGAGTGGGTAGTTGAGATTAGGTGATGCTCAGCAGGATTTGTGCTGACAGATGGGATAGCAGAGCCACGTGTCGAGGGACCATTGGAAGCAGGTTTGGGACGCAGAAGGGTATATAAGCATGTCTGCGCCCCCCATACTAGGGGACGAACACTTCGTAAGGAACTCCTACACTCAAACACTCCCTCTCTCTCTCTCCTCTCCCTAAGGTGTGTACTAATTAGATCGTCGGAGGGGTTTTCCGGCCACACACCGCCGGGTAGCTCACCCACATTGTGCTTTCAGGTGATTAGACAGAAACGGAGCTTGGAAGAAAGGAGTACGGGCTTGCTGAAATATTTGCTCCCCGCACAATGGTAGAGAAGAATTATTGGTGATAATGGTTGCAATCGAAGTATCTATGCCCATTATGTGCCAAGAATTTTGATTGGATTTTGTTTTTTTAATGAAAAACGTAAAATTGAAGTAAAAAAATGAGTATCGAATTTTTTTATTTTTTGTCATTTTATTTTATAGAAAATGTGAAAATTTATTGGGAATTCAAGATTGTATTATAATATTAGATTTTTTTGTATAAATTTAAAACTTTTAAATATTATTGTGTTTTTCATTTTTATTCTCTTTCTATCCTATTATTACTGTTATTTGTTAGTTTGTTAATCATAATTCAATTAATTGAAAATGAAAGCTTAGTATAATTTTTCATATATATTAATTAATTTGTTACCATTATATTTGTATATAATAGCATAATATATAGGGATAATCTCCAAATGTAATATTTATTTATTTTTATATGATTAAAATAGTCAATCTTAAAATAGTATATAAAGGAATTAGATGGCTTCTTTTATCCCCAAAAAACCCAATCTATTTTTTTTATACTTTTTAATTTTTTAAATTGAAACATCAGTTGTTTATGTCCACAAAACAAAATTGATAAATACATATCTAAAAGCTACACATTTCTTTTTTTTTTTCTTTTTTTAATGAGTGGATATTTACAAATGAAAAGTGTTTGATACCTCAAAAAACTTTCCATAATTTGACTTATAATGATGTGGTCATAAATGTTAATTTTTATACAAATATGAGAAGAGAATTAATCAAATTATACATTTTAACCAACCACATACTCAAATTTTTTACTATTTCAAGATATTATTTCCCTATAATTCTAATTAAGATAATCTTCGACCCTTAATATATTATTTTTATCGAATTAGAATTTGATAAAAATTTAAAAAGATGAAGCGTTGGAAATTAATTTTTTTCATCAAAATTGATGAAAAGAAAAAAAAATTAAGATAGGAATAAAAGTTCTTTTAAAAATTGATAAAAAATTAATGAAAAAGTTAAAATAATTAATATCAAATCAAATTTTTTATTCAAATTTAAAATCAAATTAGATTAAAAAAAATTAAAAGAAAATGAAGAAAGGTTGGAAATTTTTAAGACCACCTTATTCTTGAAACTAAAAATCCGTGTGCGTATTATATTCATATTGTATTTTTAGTTATGAAATTAAAATCAGAAGAAATGTAACTTAGATTATTGGATTAATATCAGAAACATCATATCAATTATTGTTAATTGTCGCTTCACTTCATATTTAATAATAAAATTGTATATTTGTCTTAATTATAACTTTTAAATTTGTATATTTTTATAGCAAAAAGAAGTATATCATAACTCATGTAATCTCATTTAATTACGTTTAAGGATAAAGAACAAATACACCCCTTGAGATTTAATTAAAATACGAATCACCCCTGTTGTTTTGAAAATTATATTCTACCCTCTGAGATTTCTAATTTTATAACAAATCGCCTATTTTATTAATAAATCATCAAGTTAATTAACAATTTTTAATGATGTTAAAAATATGTTTCAATTAATAATTTAGGTAATTTTATTATTGTATAGGAAAGCAATTATAAATTTTATTTTTTTGGTTAATTCTGTTAAATAAAAAATTCTAATAAGGAGATATTTATAATTCTTTAAACTACAAGGGACAATCTGTATTTTAAGCAAATTTTAGAGGTTGTATTTGTAATTTACCCGAGGTTTAACTTTTTTTTTTTAATTATTATTACAAATTACCAAAATTGTACTAAATAGATTTATATATATTTTTTTAAAAAAAATTTTAACTAATAATTTAAAAAGCTACAAATATAAAAATTAATTTATAAATTTCATATATATCACAAGATAAAATATTAAATTACTTTAATATATTTATAATAAATTTTTTTTCTTCTAATTTATAAAGTTCCGTACATTAGTACGGTTGCCATTAGTTGTTAAATAACGAACGACAATGCTACGTAATTTAAATTTTGTGGCTCAAAAGTAGTTCAAATGGTCAAAACGACGTCGTTTTGAGTACAGAACAACATAAAAATGGTCAAAATGACGTTGTTTTGGCCATTTAAACCACTTTTGAGTCACAAAATTTGAGTTACGAGACATTTTCCAATAACGAAATGGGTAAACTCATAATGAAACATGAAGGGCAATAAAAAAAAAAGAACGTGGTGGGTGCTAAGCTAAAGATAATACTAGACTAGTTAACCGTTTGTCAAATCTTGAGATGTCTATGCATTTCATTACGCTTGTAATTTTTACAGCCTCTCTTGCTTTTCTCCTCCAAACTTCTCTCTCCTCCTCTGTCTCCGTCTCCGTCTCTGTGGCGGGAGGGAGATACGTCGGATGGAGCTGTCGTGTTTGATTGTTCATCTTCATCATCGTCTTCATCTTCATCTTCATCTTCATCTTCTTGTTCTTCCACCATTAGGGTTGCAGAGAAGGGAAGGTCCTGAGAAGACAGGAACAGTGTGAGAGAGCGCAACAAAAACAATAATGGGTTCCATAGTAATGGAATCCGAGGACATAGCATCATATGCCAACATATATCACCCAAAGGACAATTTCTCAACCATTTGCATGTCTGTGGGTAAGATTCATTCGAGAGGCTTCATAGAAGGCATAGGTATGCTGGAATATTCAGTCCCTCTCCTCTTGGCGCAGCTCTCTCTTGCTTCTCTTGTCATTCTCTTCTCTTCCCGCCTTCTCAAGCCTCTCGGCCAACCAAGCATGGTCCCCCAGATCTTAGTAAGCTTCTCTTTCTCCAGAGGACACACCCACACCCACACCAACACCCACACAAATCCTCTTATTTCTCTCTCTCTCTCTCTCTCTCTCTCTCTATGTTCTTCTTCTTTGTCTTTATTTACAAGGCGAGCAATGACAATCTTTGCATTAACATCGTGTGTGACGTTTGTTTTTTACCAGGGTGGTATAATTCTAGGTCCCTCAATTCTGGGTCGAACAGTTGGATTTACAGAGCACTTGTTTCCCTTGAAAGGGTTCATAGTTCTTGATACCCTAGCAGTGTTTGGGTACATATTCTACTTCTTCTTGATTGGAGTTCAAATTGATCCATGGGTGGTGAAGAAAGTAGAGAGAAAGGACGTTATTATTGGCACTTCAACTGTGGCACTGGCTTTGGTACTAAGCATCTGTTGGTCTTTCCTAACAATGGATAAAATCAGCTTAGAGCAAGAGATAGCCACCTCACTTCCCGCCGTAGCAACCTCAGAGTCTGTCCTCTCCTTCCCAATGATTGCTCAGTACCTCACTGAACTCAAGATGGCAAATTCTGAGTTTGGCCGATTGGCACTGTCGTGTTCCATAGCCAGTAACCTGTTCAGTTTTTGCGTGATAACATTGACCATTCTCACGAATCAACAAGGGGAGAAGTTCATGATGTTGAAGACGCTCTCTGCCGGTGTTGCCATGACATTGGTCATTTTTGTGGTAATTCGCCCTGCAATTATGTGGATGCTAAGGCGCCAACCAGAGGGTGAGTCACTGAGGGAGGAGTTCATTTATATCGTATTTTTGGGAGTCTTGGCGATTACGTTTGCCAGTCAAGCCACTGGTCTCAACATTCTCTACGGACCTCTTATTTATGGGTTGGCACTACCTGCTGGACCACCGTTGGGATCAGCTCTAGTAGAAAAGCTTGATCTCATCAACTCCTGGTTGTTTATGCCGCTCTACTTTGTCAAAAATGGGTTGGTCACAGATATATTTTCAGTTGACTTAAAAAACTACCTGGTTGTGCAATTCATCATTGTCGTTGCCTGGACCGGGAAGTTCCTAGGAGCCCTTATATCTGCCCTTTACTGTAATATACCCACTAAGGATGCTGTCTCACTTGGCCTTATCATGAATGTCCAGGGTGTTCTTGAGCTCGGCATGTATAAGATGATGAAGCAAGCCAAAGTATGTCTCAGAAATTCACAATATTTACACCTCCAAACAAAATCCGTAGACTGAGAGTGTGAGATAATAATATATTCACGAGCATTAAATCACAAAATTTATTTAGATATAATCTCCATTGATGATGGAACTCAACACACACACACACATAAAGAGAGAGGAGCGTGTTCGAAGTACATCACATCAGCTATTGGCACACATCTCAAGTTTTCATCATCTGAAAAAAAAAAAATGGAAATTTAAAATAGCAGAAAACAAAACTACGTAACACTTGTTAACATCATTTCCTTCTTTTTAACTCGTGATAATTTGGTTTTCAAATGATGGCTTGCAGGCAATAGGCCCTGAACCATTCGCGGTGATGTGCACATCGATGTTGATTTTACTAGCAACGATGACACCCATGCTAAGATATCTCTACGATCCATCAAGGAGGTATGCAGTCTACAACAAGAGGACTATCATGAACTCGAGACTCAACTCAGAGCTCCGAGTGCTAGCATGCGTATACCATGAAGACGACGTTCCCACCACCATCAGCCTTCTTGAAGCTATTAGTCCCACTATACGAAGCCCCATTAGCGTCTACACCGTCCATCTCATCGAGCTTGTTGGCCGTACTGTCCCCCTCCTAATCCCCCACAAACTCTCCAGAAAGCATTCTTCCAAGGCCCCCACCTCAAAAAGCATTGTCAATGCCTTCAGATACTTTGAGCAAAGTTACCATGGCGTCATCACAGTGCACCCCTTTACTGTAATATCTCCTTATGCAACAATGCATGATGAAATCTGTGCAATGGCAGTTGACAAAAAGGTCTCCCTGATAATAGTTCCCTTCCACATAAGGCTCACTGCCACAGATGCATGGGAGACATTCAATAAAGGCATCAAGATAATGAATGAGAATACCCTTAATATGGCACCTTGCTCTGTTGCAATTATTGTTGACCGTGGGCTCATTAGCAACTCAAGGCCCACATTAGTAACCTGGTCTTCTTATCGCGTTGCTGTTCTCTTCTTGGGCGGACCAGATGACAGGGAGGCCTTGGCTTTAGGGGTACGGATGGCTAGACAACCAAACATTAATCTAACAATGGTCCGGCTCCTCGGGGATGGGAACATTACCAGTGAAAAAACCAAAGAAAGCGAGCTGGATAATGAAGTGGTGAGTGATTTTAGACTCAATATGGCTGGTAATTATCGGGTCATGTACATAGAAGAGGTGGCAAAGGATGGTACAGGTACGATTGCTGTGATGCAATCCATGGAAAAAAATTATGAACTTATCATTGTGGGAAGACACCATGACCAGCAGTCGCCACTCATAATAAATCTTACGGGTTGGAGTGAGGAGACGGAATTGGGAGCAATAGGAGATGTGCTGGCTTCGGCAGATTTCCAAGGCAACACCAGCATCTTGGTGGTGCAACAGCACACTATTGTGGGCAATAAATCACGTCAGAATGCAAAAGACTTTAGTTTAAAGATGGCACAAGAAATAGAGGAAGAATCAGAGCATCTTCCAATCCACAGAGAAACTGTATAATGTTCAGTCAGAAGAGCCAAATGTGAGACAAGTGTTTGGTAGATGGTAGCTGTTTTGAATATTTATATACATTAGGCACACTTTCTGTACACTCATTTAGAAAGAAATTCCAAGTTTTTGATCAGAAATTTCCAGGACCATTATTATCCGCACAATTGCAGGCCTAAGTCTCTTCTTTTAAGGTAAAGTCAAAGCCACCAAAGCAATTGCTTTAATTGTCTATCAAATGCCTTGATTCAGTCAAATTCAGCAAAAGAAAATGAATTTGCAACCACACTCAAGAGTTATCATAATGCCGCAACCTCTTTTATGCATATAGATTGCTTTGGAACACATAATTGATTTAGTAATATTTGACTAGTGAATGCAGTGAAGGTCAAGAGTCAATTCATAATGATAGAAGTGGATTATTTCCGAAAGGACACATCCATGGTCTGAACTTTGTCACAAAGGGGGAGGAACATTAGGCTTCCCATAAGCATCTAGGAGTAGCTTTATGCTCTCAGAGATGGCCTGAAGTTTACTTTGGATAACAGGAATCCAACATATTAGCCCCACCTTAACAGAAGAACAGCATTAGCTAATATTCTGGCTAGAGGAGGATGCTCTTCAGATGCTAATTTCTTATTTTCTATGGTATGCCATCATGCATTAGGGAACAGCTTATAGGTGATGCTAAAGAGCCAATAAGGAAAAGAAACAAGCAAAATAAAGAAAAATGCAATTGATAGAAGGGGATTAAGTCATAAGGAATAGATTAAACACCCTACACCTATTACAAGGTGCTGCTACAAGTCAAATAGAAACTTTATTACAAGCAATAATGTGGGTGTTTGAGAAGTGGGTTTTTTTTTGTAATTTTTTTAGTTGTAGGATATTATTAGAGAAATATTTTTGTGTTTAGAAAGATAGTTGTGTTTTTTTGTGATTGGATGTGATGTTTGTGAAAGAAAAAGTGAAATGATTATGGGGTTTGATGTGATATTTTGTTTGGATTTGTTTTTTTTGATTTTGTAACCGATTAGTTTTTTAGTGAAAAAAAACAAAAACAAAAAAACAAAAAACTTCCTTCCCAAACACCGCCATTAATAAACAAGCAAAATAGAAAGAAAAATGCAATTGATAGTAGAAGGGGATTAAGTCATAAAGAATAGATTAAACACCCTAGTCAAAAAGAAACTTTATTACTGTTGGCTATATATTTTGTATAAACCAATTACACTTCAACACGTGGCAGGTTGAGGGTAATACGGGAAGACAACTCAAACCTTCGATCGTGATCGTACACGTGGCAGTTAATATTGGTTTTTCATAAGATCTACGTAGTACTGGATCAGTAAAAAGATGCAAAGTGATGCGGTTTCAACGGTTACTCACATTTAAATTCAAAAGTCAGGAGGGAAGCCTAACTGCAGGTATTGGCATAGTGGAGCTAACTATAAGGCAACATGGTCAGCGATCATGGAGGAGCAGTTCGACGGTTAGAAGTGCAGTTCGATAGTTCTCCTTGAGAAGTATAAATAGCAGAGAAGACCCCAGAAAAAGTCTCAGACTCAGATCCAGAAAACCAGTTTTATTCTACTTTATTTCTTTTCCAGTTTTTACATTTCTTGTTTTTTACATTTCTGTACTTCAAATTCCTGCACTACATTTCGTTCCTACGAGTAGTTTCAAGTAGATTGTTGCTGTAAACCTCTACGAGGCTGAATTGGATCATTATAAGTCTTTCGTTTTACTTAATGAAATACTGCAATTGTTCTTCATTTAATCATTGTCAGTTTATTCCTCCTAAGCAAAGCCACCAGTAAAAGTCCTCTTCATTGAGGCTGAAAAAACTAAAACACAATCGTCTGATAATTGGTTGGCAATTAAATTTCTGTAAGGACTGATTGATCCTTGCTGGCACGCTCAAAATTACTGTAATAACCTTCGAAAGCTAAAAAGTCAACATATATTTTTGGCACGCCCAGTGGGACTAATTGAAATGGCTAGACGTAGGAGATAAGGAGAAAATGAATGCTCGGAAGAAGGCGTGGAAGTAGAGGTAGAAATGCCTAATACAGAGGATAATGTGATAACACATCCTGTGGAAACACCCATATTATCAGAACCTATGGTCGAACAGACCGGCACTTCGGAACAAGTACCACATGTTCATAATATTGAACGAGGCCAAGGAATTGGACCATTCACTGTTCCATCTACTCAGCCAATGAATCCATGGGGAGGCCTAGTAGATGTTGTGGGTGAGAGGTGTGGTTAGAGGTAGTCCGGGAAGATGGCGGGCACTTCAATGGCCTGAGATCACCGGAGGTGGAGAGGAGGAGGTCAAGGCAAGCTTGGAGAGGGAGAGGTTGGCAGTGATAGACCTTTTGAACACTAGTATGATAGAGGGTGTTTAAGTATGAAACTTGGTTGTATTGTTGTTGTTGTGTCTCGCTGCATATACGATACGTTATATAGGCCGCAGGAGTATTGGAGCCCAAGCAAACTGTTGGACAGGTGGCTCGTTCTCCTCAACTCTGCCAGAAGTGATATAAGCCCTTCTGCCGTCTGTGGCTTGACGGCAGGCGGAGAGCAACGTTTCATGGCAGGCAGAAAGTAACGTTTCGTATATGCATCGGATGACATGAACGTAAGGTCATTGTTGCCTCTTCTCCAAGCCTGGTCGAGATGGAGTTGTCTTAGCAAGAAGACAAACATCTCGACGATCCCATGACCTCAGCCGCCAGTCCAGTATCCTCTGATGATCCCGAGCAGTAGTGCCTAGGTCCTGCTCCCAACCTAGGCATCCAAGTAGATAAATGGGCCAGGGCCCACCTTAGTGTTTAAGAGAGCCAGGGGCTCGCCTCCAAGCGACCAAGTAGGAGAATGGGCCGCAGGCTTATCTCGATGTTTAAGAGAGGGGCTCGCTTTTGAGCGACCAAGTAGGAGGTTGGGCCGCAGGCCTATCTCAATGTTTAGGAGAGCCATTGTTTATCAATCCAAGTCCAAGTGAGCCGGGAGCTGATTGTATTGTTGTTTGGCCTTGGAGCGAGGTATGAAGGACCATGGGCCCTGGGGCCATGGTGCTGCCTGTTGCAGGGCTCTTCATATCTAGATATATTTGGGCTTATATGTATGCTCCCGCTTAGGCTAAGCATATAGTCTTGGCTGCCTTGGCACATGACGCCCGTAGGGCTCGCCATGTAGTAAACATACGACATGCCCGACGTGGTGCCTTATTGGTCTGCCACGTAGGTGGGGTTTTGGTGATGTGGCACCTGTAGGGCTTACCACATATTGAGCTTGATACAAGTACCCACAATAATGCCCCCCTGTACAGATGCTCTTATAGCTAATGAGAGTATTTGTACATGACTATGTTAAAAAGTTTTGAAAAATATTAACTCATGCGGACAAGTATTCAGATAGAGTCATCTAAAATTAGGCTTTTGATACAAAGGGGGCATTTGGATTGCTCATGGAGAGTTTACATTTTTAAATTTCTTTCGGTGCGAGCCGGCCGGATAAAGATGTGGGCTTGTTGGGCGATGGCTTGATTCCACGGGATCTCTATTACATCACATGAGATTTCAGCTTCATTCCATAGGCACCAAATTCCGCCCGTTACTCTTTCCATGCCGCTGGGAGGTGGGTTCATGGTCTTGGTGTTGGAGTAACCCATGATTTGGCTCATGAACTGGGCCTCGCTTTCCCTTTTTTTTGTGTTTGTGATGATGACGAGGTGGAAGCGTCCGCTAGAATGTAGGTGCATGTAGTGTTGGAGAAAGTTAGGGCGAGCGACGCCCTCAGTGTTGAAGAAGAGGATGTTAAGTGGAATGTTGTAGGAGATGTTTGATTGAGCGTTGAGTGAAGCGCTCTCTTCTCCCATGTTGAGATCTGCAAAGCTCTCTATGTCCCACCCAAGTCCTAAATCTTCATTTGGGTTTTCCAATGGTGCTGACATGATGGAGATGTGGTGGTCTAGATCTCTCTCTGTCGGTCTTTGCGAGAGGATATTGATGCGGATCCTTTCGAAATGTGGGATTAACACCTGATTTGCCTGGCAGGTGGATCCTTGGAGAGTGAGGTTGATTTCTTGGTTTCGCAAAAACCAAGTGCGGGACACTGGTATTGTGTAAAGTTCTGGAATGGTTAGTGCCTTGTACCATCCTCTTATTTTACCCCGGAATTCTTCCGGTACCTCTACATCTGTATGAGCAGATATTGGGTGCTGGATCCAAAGGGATTCGAATAGCAGATCTTGGAATTGCCATGGAGGCATGGAGAGCATCTTTCGAAAGAACTCACACACCGGGCGGCGACGGTGAGTAGGAGTGGAGCTTGAAGCTCTAGAGTTGGTGCTTGAAGCTCTTTGGTTTGGAGCCCTGTTCACCGGCCGCCAGATGGTGTTATCTCAGTGCCTCTCTCCTCCAAAAGCCATTTAGAGAGAATGGGTTGTTGAAGTTGAGAGGAGAATGTTGGCGAGTAGATATGAATTTGACTGTTTTTTTTTTTTTTTTTTTGCTGTCCCGTATTTGCTCTCTTATAAAGATGAGATTGCATTGGGAAAGAGGGGGTGAATTTACTAACTTTTGCAGCTTTACATTGGGAATGGGCGATACATGAAGAAGACAACTCATAAATTGAAGTTATAGGTTTAGAGCAGACCTACTAATTTTGGAGTTGCTCAGTATAATGTGATAGCTTGTGTAGCTATTAGTAAAGTGACTTTTTTGAAGGCTTTAAGGTATTTACAGTCTGTAGCAAAGAGTTCGATTGGTTTAAGGATTCATCTTTGGAAAGGTGCAATCCTGAATATGTGTGTATTTATACACATTACTTATATATATATATATATATATATTTTTTATTTTTTTTGAATTCAAAGAAGTTTGTGTATATGGCTTCAGCTTGTTCGAAACTGTTTGAAGGGGGAGTTCACCCATTTTTTTTTTTTTTTTTTTTTTAATTTTGGTTTCAAAATTCAAAATAAATTGGTCCAAATTTTTTCCTCCACCCAAACAGGTTTTTACCTGTTGAATCTGTCTAAATAGGTTTTCTATCTGTTGAACCTGTTCAGAAAAGCCACCAATTTCCTATAAATAACCTGTCATTCCAGTAATTCTTTCAATTCAATTTTTCGGAGAATTTCTTCATTTTTCCTTCTAGTCGTCCTCTTGTCTTCTGCATCGGTCCATCATTTAATCTTTAAGAAGAAAGAATGAGAGTTACAGCAAAGTTTTGGCTCGCCAGACTTGGAGAAGGTGAGAAGAGAGAGGGGTGAGTTGGGAACTCGCGAGCCATAGTTGCGAGCTGAGCGAGAAGGACTTGGTGCTTTGGAAGCTTGACCACGATCTGGGGTCACCTATTTGGAGTCATCTGTCTCTGTTTTAGAAATTATCGTGCGGAGGTATGCTTTGAATCTCCCATAGATTGGCTGTATGTGTTTGTTTATTTGCTATATATATATATATATATGTTTTGTTTGTTTTGTGATGAAACAAAGAAAAAGAAAGGGGGGTAGACTGTTGTAAAGATAAATAAATGAATAAATAAACGAGGAGGTATGTCAAAAATGAAGGGCTGCATTTTGGAGAGTTGTAAAATAATAAGATTGTTATTATTTTGGTAAAGAGCCAAGGGTTGGAGAACCTTTTTCTTTCTTCTTTTTTTTTTATATATATATATTATTTATTATTTTATTATTATGATTATTATTGGTTTGATATGGATTGAAGAAATAGTCAGAAAATAAAAAATAAAAAATTAGAATAAGATATTAGGGAGTTATAAAAGTGGAGTTCTACGCGTAGAATATTAAGGAGTTATAAGTTTTGAGATTTCGAATAATAAAATATTAGAATTGTGGGGAGCTATGCTATTAGTGAGCCATAAAATAT